CGATTTTTCGATTTTTCGATTTTTCGATTTTTCGATTTTTCGATTTTTCGATTTTTCGATTTTTCGATTTTTCGATTTTTCGATTTTTCGATTTTTCGATTTTTCGATTTTTCGATTTTTCGATTTTTCGATTTTTCGATTTTTCGATTTTTCGATTTTTCGATTTTTCAATTTTTCGTTTTCCGATTTTTCGATTTTTCGATTTTTCGATTTTTCGATTTGTCGATTTTTCGATTTTTTGATTTTTCGATTTTTCGATTTTTCGATTTTTCGATTTTTCGATTTTTCGATTTTTCGATTTTTCGATTTTTCGATTTTTCGATTTTTCGATTTTTCGATTTTTCGATTTTTCGATTTTTCGATTTTTCGATTTTTCGATTTTTCGATTTTTCGATTTTTCGATTTTTCGATTTTTCGATTTTTCGATTTTTCGATTTTTCGATTTTTCGATTTTTCGATTTTTCGATTTTTTGATTTTTAACCGACTTCAAAAAAGGAGGAGGTTATCAATTCGTCGCGATTTTTTTTTTATGTATGTTTAGCAATAATTCTTTAACACGGTGTCCGATTTCAATGATTTCTTTTTTGTTAGAAAGGGGGTACTTCAGGGGTGGTCCCATATCAATTTGGTCAAAATCTAATAATTGGGTCAATGAGAAAATCTTCAAACTCTTCATTTTTTTTGTATGTTTTTGTATGTTTAGCGATAATGCTTTACCACCTTGTTCGATTTATATGATTCTTTTTTTGTTAGTAAGGGGGTACCTCAGGGGTGGTCCCATATAAATTTGGTTAAGATGTGGTGATGGCATCTGCACGTTTTTTATTTCTAATACTTGTTCGATTTTCTGTTATTGAATAAATGAGAAGTTAATATTGTTTAACGCCGCACCGCTGTGCCGGTCGGAGTGGGGGGTGTTTATTTTCGTTACGGAATTTCTTGATTCGGTCGCCGCGCTCAAAGCCCGCGATAAAAGATATGAAATAGCTTAAAAATATTCTGAGCGTTAAAAACCTTACGTTTCAATGCATAAGTGACATCAAAACTTTCCGAACCGGACTCGGTGTCATAAACAATTTGTTGTAAAAAATGATCACTGACATCAGTGCGTATAGCATTGCATTTAATAGTTTGTGTTTCTAAAGTAGAAAAAATATTGTCAATTATTGACTTTGTCTGATTTGTTATACGTGTATATTCAAAAATACACTGATGTAAACCATAAGTTAAAAAAATGTTTCTTAATCTTTCTGCATTAACATCGTGAATGTTTTCGTCAAAATTTACATTGAAGTCCCCACACATTAAGAATATTTTATCACCCTTAATAATTTCAAACAATAGAGACAGTCAATGTTACTGAAAAATTGAGCAATATGACAATGCTCCATCATCAATAAGAAGTGGCTACAGTGGCTATGGTTTTGGCTGTAGCCCTATGTTTCCTTTTTGTATTGTTCATATTTTCAAGTGTTGTGGGTGAATTGAGTCAAATGAAATTATAATTAGGGTACTTTTAAACAAAATATAAAATTGAGAAAATGATGTATTTGAGTTTTGACTCACCCTGTACAGATTTGTTGCGAATTGAAAAAAGTATTTCGGCCTAAAATTTGACTATCATCGAAAAATTGTGGCCGTAAAAAATAGGTTTTCAATTGTTTCTTCTGCATGATTATAGGTCATTAAAATCAATATGATTTTTATATAAAAACTGGTTTTATCCTGAGAAATACCCTGTATACTAATTAGTATTTTCACGATGGGAAATATTATTATATTATTATTATTATTATTATTATATATTCAAAAATAATTTTAAAATATGTAGTTTAATGATGGTTACCGTTCTGTGAATATAATTTTTTTTATATATATATATCTAATAATGGCGTTGATATTTGACTTTTTCACACTAATGGATCACCCTGTATATCGTTAAATTACGCATACTTAAAGTGGTGTAGGGCGCGCATTTATTTTTGTACCTAACTAAAATCGAGAGTAAAAATACGTAGATGAATCAGCGATAATTTTGGTCGTTCCTAGTCAAGGGCTGGATGGAGGCTTTAGCAGGAATGGAATTATTACCTACCACCCTCACTGAACAATTTAAGTGACGGGGTTGTACGGCTACGGCTCCTGCACTGTCTGCATAATAGAGAGAGCTGCACGGTGTCCTCCCTTTGCTTTTTCGGTCGCATTGCTATGGTATCGGCCGTAAGTTAAACGCGACGTTGCCACGTTTCATCCCCGAATAGTTTGACAAACATCGATATTTTTATTGCACTTTGGGGTCTATTCTGTAACAATTCCTTTATATTTATCAGCCTTTAAAAATATTGGCGGCCTTTAAAAGTATATTTGTATTCGTTAATTTACTTCTATCATTATTTAAACAGATTTCTTTAAGATATTCCTCTAATGTCTTTTAAAGATCCGTTTAAATAGTGACCGAAATCGAAAAATCGAAAAATCGAAAAATCGAAAAATCGAAAAATCAAAAAATCAAAAAATCGAAAAATCGAAAAATAGAAAAATCGAAAAATCGAAAAATCGAAAAATAAAAAAATCGAAAAATCGAAAAATCGAAAAATCGAAAAATCGAAAAATTGGACATAGAAATCGGACAAGGTGGTAAAGAATTACCGTTAAACATACATAAAAAATAATATAATAATAGTCGTTCATTTTGCGGCAACTCACTCCGCTCATTCCGAAAAATATTTACTCGGTACACAAAATAAAGCATTTCGTAACTGTTTGCATAAATAGCTATTTTATTTATATATACATTATATATTAGTAGTATGTAAATTTTTGTGTGATATTAAAAGTGTTTTATGCCCCTGTATAAGCTGTCAAATTAATAATTTTTCCTTTGAAAATGTGCACGATATGTCCTTATGATCAAAATGTATTTTTTTCTATTCGCTCCGTGCGAAGTCATGGAAAGGGAAGCAAAAGCTATACTAGCGCTAGCTGCGGATAATTCGTGCATTTTAGGGCGATATTTTGTAATTTTGGCATATCAAATACACGTATACATTTTACTTTTTTTCAAAAAAGTAGATAAAAACAATACAATAAGCAACCGGAGTTGCTGTGTTGAAAATTGTACAAACACTAGCAAAAAAAAACAGTGAAACTTATATAAAAAATTTCAGTAGCAAAGTGAAAATTAAATCAACGAAATAAATGGATAGGTGTACAATAAGAAGAAAAATTACCTTTATTTTTGTAATAATAACAGTAATGCTGGAAATAGTAGACATCAGAAACTTAAAAGGTTTTAAATAAACAATAAATTATCATTTTACGATGTTCTTTAATATCCCTTTATTCTTAAATGTTCATTCAGCAAGGACTAGATTTCAAGATTTTTGCCTTTGATTTTTATATGTGGCTGGAATGCAATTTTGTGACTTACTGATAGGAAACCAGTTTTAATCATTCATTCTATGTTTTCTTTCGAACAAAAATGAAAATATAAATAACGATCCTTTTTTTATATATTTTAACTTCACGCTATTATTAAATGGTATTTTTTTTTATTTTGACAGAATAGGCTAACTCTTCAATGACAACTTATTAGACTTAGGCAACTTCTCATACATTTTCCAGTAAATGCTGTTGCCTGCCTATATTTTATTATTGATTTTTATTGATTATACATAATTTTCTTTAATTTAAGCGATAAAAATATATAATAATAATAAATTAATGTTTTACTTGTTATACAAATCTATATACTTTTATTAAAACTAACATATATACTTTTTAATTACGAATTCTATTAAAAATTGTATTTGTCAGTATACCCAGAAATAGTCCATTAGTACCAAAACGGATTGGCGCTGCTGTCACGCACGGAGCAAATAGGTACCTCACTCTATAATTGGTTTCTAACTGTTGAGTGTTGAGCTAAATATATAAAAAAATTTCGACGAATTTTAAATTTTTCAAGTCAGTTAAAAATTGTTTGGTCTTATTAATTTAATGTTGAAATTAATTTTTTCTACACCCACATGGATATTATCTACGCACAGATTACAAAACGAAAAAGTATGCTATTGTCTTCAACTAAACGAATACATTTCATATCCATTCTAGGTAGTAAGAACACTGCAAAAAAAATGAATGAAATCCACCAATCACCGTTCATATTTTGATCAACCGACTGCTATTATTTTTAAAATTTTAAATAAGTGACAATTCTGTCAAACTAATTGTCATTATATTATATAGTTATTGAGATTAAACATACATTAAAATGGATTATTCTCTATATGTAGAATCGATAAATAATAGCATTTCTGTTTTTATTTCGTCTATAATTATAAATAATTTGTTAATTTAAATAAAACTATATGAAGTCAATTTAATTACGAATATTAAAGCAACAAAAATAAAAGAATAGGTAGTTCCGTGATCAGCGTTCTGACCTTCCACGCGAAAGGCTGGAGTTCGATTCTCGGACGGGGAAAAATTAAATGAAATTTTTCCTTTTTTTTCGTTTATTTTATTTTATTTTAAAAATTATTAAGTCATATATTGTTTTAAAATTAGTTATTTTGTCTTAATTACCTAAAATATTGGGTCGTAGAAAAAATATACTGTACAACTCGAGTGGATTGTACATATCCACTCTTGTTGCACAAACTACTATTGCAAACAACTAAAATTAACGATAAATTGTACTTAAACGTAATGTTTATATTGTTAAATCTTTCCAAATACCACGCTAAGTTAGAATTTTTTTAAACAATTTTTTCTTACAAATTATGCAAATTTCACTCAACAAAATTCTCCCGAAATACCACTAGACTAACGTCTCGTGGTATTCTAAGGAATATTTTGTTTCGTGAAATTTAGAATTTCCAAGGAAACAACAAAGTATTTTCAAAATATTCTCAGCTCTCGGGGAATTATTGTTGTATATAAGACTTTTTTGATCAACCGGCAACACAGCGCCTGTATAAAACCCAGTTTGAGTCTACAGGGAGGCGCAAACCCAGTAATTTCTTGTGGGGGACCATCATCAGCCATCGAAGTCAAAGTCTTTTCGTTCAGTTCAGAATTATTCGTAGTTCGTAGTCTCTCGTCGTACGAGTTTGAGTTGGCGTGTGCGCGTTCAAAACCGGAAGCCCAACACCAGACAATCGACAAATCGCTATCGAACTAGACATCTAGTAAGCCGGGTGTGCAAAAAGTGCCGAAGGATTTTTTTTATACGAAATACTTGCCGGTTTTTGAGTGGATTAAGTATATATTTTGGTCCAGTTCTTCTGAAGGTAAGACACTTTCTATTTAGATTAAAATTATTATACATAGATTTTAGAGAGATCAGAGTACATTTTTTCAAAAATTACAAATCAGGTAGGTATTTTGAAAAAGTGTACAGCCTAAGTTAGTTTTGATAGTGGAAAGTGGAATTTACGAAGGTTATTCCACACAGATCAAAACCAAATGATTTACAAATTCCTTCCATTATACTACTTTCCTTTCCACCTAGGATATGTGTTCAGAAAATCCGGGATTTTTTATTGCATTGTGAAGCTGGCCCCCCGAAATTCGAAAATTTTTGTTTTAAAAGCGGAATGCTTTTGATTACCCTTTAAAATAGTTATTATTCCAAAAAGTGTAAACATTCGAAAAATACAATACAAATAGAAATTCGAGTTTTAAATTGTATTTTTTTAATTATTTTACAGGATGATCAAACATTAATATATAATTTTAAACCTTTTTGGATGTTTATTGTGCCTTCCTGGCGTTTGACATTTTTTTTTAAGTCAAAATTCGATTTGGAAAACAGTATTTTTCGAATTTTCACACTGGGCTCATTATAATTATTGTAGGGGATGGTCAAACACCGAAATATTATTTTATTTTAAACCATTATGGATCTTTCGATATTGAAATTATTGTATTTTTACGAATTTTCACCAGAATTGGAAAATATCTAAGAAATTAAAAATATATAAGTAGGTTCTTAGATTATTTAGGTTTTTTTAAAGGCTTTTAAGGTTTTTCAGTTCATAATATGTCAACAATATTATTAATAAAGTTAAACCAAAAATACAAGTAAAACTATTTAGAAAAATAGAATATATTATTACATTAAAAAATCACATTCTGCAAATAAAAGAAAACTAAATTATTTGCATTTCTTTTTACAAACTCTCGCCTCAGAACTCTTGGTTCTCTATAATTAACCCCTTTGATTTATTTTAAGGGGTGGTTAAAACATTAACGGGTGATCAAAAATGGTCAAACAGTAGTCAATCCTATGGAGCATGTATGTTTGGAAGAATAAATACTTGGGGGCTAGCGGGCACTCGTTTTTATTTTTAATATTTGTTACCGATGGTAGTCAAAAAAGTTACTGGGTGGTAAAACATAATCAATAGGTGGTTAAAGTTTTCCCGATTTTAAAACTAAAATTTTCGAATTTTTCAGGCAGCTTCACATAGCTCATTTTTTTTTGTAAATACATACCATTATTAGTATTTAATAGTTCTTTACGTTATAAGCCCGTTACCTAGATATTTATGTGCGAGCACGGTCATTAATGTGCGAGCGCTAGTGAGCACGATATATGACCGTGCGAGCACGTAGGGATCAGGTAACGGGCGTGTATCGTACCACGTTTTATGATGTACTACTACGTTTTACAACCTGAAATCAAATAAAATTTGACACCATCATTACAAGTTTCCGAATGTGACATAAAATAATGACAGTTCAGTTACAACTGACAATTCAGGCATAACCTGTTGTTAAAACTTTTACCGGGCTAGCCTGTTATGACTCGTATAACAACCATAAACAGAGGTTGGTTAACATTGGAATAACATTTCAGTGTATCATAAAAGCTTTTAAATCTTTTTTAAGAAAGTAGTTCCAATGTACGATGCGTGATTTTAACTAGACAATAATCTAATATTCACAAAAAATGTTTTTACCTACATATATTTTTAATCAATTCAAGGATTCCTACTATTTTTAAGAGAATAGTTCAAATGTGTCATTAGTCAATTTTTAGCAAGAAATATTTTACTGAGTATTTTTTACATCTAAATGATTTTTAGTAATTTTTGAGAAATTAGTTCAAATGTATCATTTTTAACTTCACCCGAGTCTTGATAATCACAAGAAATGTCACAACGTGACAATTAAAAGTTGATATATTTAAGATATTGGTTCAAATGTACAGATATTTATGTTATCTGTTAATCACAAAAAAACTTCTAAAGCGTTTTTAAAGTAATATTTTTGATAGGCATGATATCCAGTGTATTTTAAGAGGGTAGTTCAATATTGTACCCTTTTAAAAATCAACCGGATTCATTACAATTTTATAGTTTATGTCGTCATTTGCATGACATCTAAAAAATTTTGAATAGTTTTCAGACGGTAGTTCAAATGTACCATTTCGTTTAAGGCAGAAATACCATAAATAATACTCGTTTTTGGGGTAATTTGTATGACTTTTAAACGTTTTTGGAACATTTTTCCCGTAGTCATTTACATGACTATTAAAACATTTCTGGTAATTTTTCAGACAGTAGTTCAAATGTACCGTTCATATTTTCATTCAAGGCAGATATAACACTAATAAGACAAGTTTACAAAGTAATTTGCGTGACTTCTAAATGCTATATTTATGATAATTTTTAAGACGGTAGTTCAAATGTACCGTTCGTAAATTTTACTTACTGTTTATAATTGAATTAAAGATGAAATCCATTCAAGGTAAAAAAAACGTTGCAATGAATCGTGCATTGCATGTGTTTTACTTGACATTGGCCGGACCAGCCTTGGTCCTCGTCTACTTTCTTGTCTAGAATGGTTTTGCCGAAAGAAATTCGATATTTTTAGTCGACATGGGCGATGGCAGCGTTGCATCGACCCTGAACTTGGTGTTCCCAGGTCATTCGATATTCGATATCACAATGTGCCGCCAACTGTCGCCGTCGCCGCTCTTCACCGCCGCCACAGCTCGATTTATTTGTTTACACCGCTTTGTTCGGAAAAAATATACGGGGTACAAACAAAAGTTGATGATAGTGAAAACAAATAAAGAGTTGGAAAGAAAAATAATATTTGGTCCTTTTACCCCTTATGCCTGCCTATGTAATAATATTTAGCCCATTTATACATTAAACCTGTCTGCCTGTTCATGTTTAAATAATTGGCTCTTTTATCCTTTAAACCTGTCTCAGAGCTGAGTTATTACATGTACTTAAAAAAAACGTGTGGCACTCGGGGACTGCCGCGGTAAAGCTATTGCATAGTATTTTTTATCAACTTATACAATTATAATTATTTATTTATTTTATTTATGCAGTATTTTTTTTATTTGTTATTAATACAAGTTTTTTCTTTGATATTAATTCAAGTTACACTTTTTGAGCGTGGTGACCGATAAGAAAACTTTTTTCTTTTTTCTTTTATTGAATAAATAAGAAGTTAATATTTTTTTAAATATTTTTATTATCTTAAAATACATGTAGGTTATTCAGGAATTTTTATCATTGAAACTATAGGTTTATGGTAACTGCAATAAGAAACATAAGTTTGAGACTTGATATCCTCTAAATATCTGGAAAATACCGCGTCAATGGTGGTCCCATGTTTTGTTGTTGATTCTTGTGGATTATTATTCATTTTCAAATTCAATTTTTCCGAAATTGTGTCTAAAAGAGATAGAATCAGTTATGAGCAGTTAGCATCTAGTCTACACGCATACGTCGCACGCACACAAACACCATGCCGAAATCTGCCGAACTAAAACGACGTTAGACGATGCACGGCTTTCAAGCCGCACCGCTGTGCCGGTCGGAGTGGGGGGTGTTAGGTTTATTTTCGTTACGGAATTTCTTTTTCGATTTTACGATTTTTCGATATTACTATTTTACGATTTTTCGATTTTTCGATTTTTCGATTTTTCGATTTTTTGATTTTTCAATTTTTCGATTTTTCGATTTTCTTTTATTGAATAAATGAGAAGTTAATATTGTTTAACGCCGCACCGCTGTGCCGATCGGAGTGGGGGGAGTTTTTTCGTTACAGTTTCGTTTTTTTTCTTGATTCGGTCGCCGCGCTACTTTTTAAAAAAGGAATTAATTATTTAAAATTAATTTTCATGTCTTGGTAGGATTCCCCCACTCGACCATTCACTGTTGGCTTCTAATTAACAGTGTTTTTCCTAAAGTGGCGCTGGGAAACAGTAACGAAGCCTACACAGAACACTAGGCGAAATAACCAGAGTAGTTGAAGACGATGAAACAAAAAAAAATAAAAGTACAAAGTACATGTAAAAATAGGAATTACATTGATTTAATTACAATTACATGAACAAAGGACTTCTCAATTACTTTTATAGTTACTATTCTAATTACTTTGCGGATAAAACAACAAATTATTTTTAAAGCTATCTTAAGGGCGGGTTGTATAAAGCTTACAGTTAAACTCTGCTTGAGATGACAACAAATTTTTTTGGGCATAGATACAGTCTATATTTTATTTAGCACTTAGGGCGTGTTTCCCCAAACATTATACTGCACTTATAGAGTCGAAAATTGACATGTATCACTTAAAACTGAGCTTAACTTTAAGAAATATTTATTTATACAACCAGCCCAAAGCGAATTGTTTTCTATACCATTTAAGGTGTCTTTAACTTAAGGAAAAAGACAAAATCCATAACAAGTAACAAGTAGTATAAAAAAGGGAACAGGGAAGTTAATAATAAAATGTGAGCTCTTAAAAGTTTATTGATTCAGAACAAAAATACAAAAGTTCGTGTAGGTACCTAGTAACAATCACCATACAAATCGGGCATCATTTGTGTGGGGCTGTTTAATCAAAAAGATAAAATAGTTAACTGTTTTACACTAAACATTTTATTTACATTCGTTTTGTTGATGAAAAAGTATCTGATACCATTTTCTTTTTGTCGTAAAATCAATTGTTTTAAGCTACGGACAGTTCATAAAAGTTTAAAACCAATTTTTCAAATATACCCTTGTAACACATTTTTTTTAATAATAGTTGACCACAGAATGTAAGAAAAATATTTGGTATAAAATTATTAATATTTTTTTATTTTTCATTAAGCAGACAAAAAGTAATGACGCCTGATTTGCAAGATCTAGTTATAATTCACTAAATGTTTATATTTTCACAACAGGTTTTGAAAAATTGCTGTCTGACAGGGCATCCCTTCTGTGAGCGTATTGGAATAGTTAGTCCTTCAGTTCAATGTAGAAAATTAGAATAATAACTA